GCCATGTCGAGTGACCCTTAACCCTTCTCCTCACTCCTGCTCTGTGTGCACTGTGTCTTGAAGGGGAGTGAGGGGAGACCTGACCCTTGCAGTTTGCCTTTCCCAAGCTTCTGTGTCTGAAGACTTCCTGCTGAGTTCAGCCAGTGTGAGACTGGTGGGAGATTGGTGGGAGGAGGGAGAAACCAGAGTATCTCCTTCTGCCTTGCTGGGTTGGGCAGCATTTCCTGTCTTCCACGGACTTGCCTCCTGTTGCATCCGTGGGCTTTATTGAATCCCACTCCCTGAGTCCTTGGTGGATGGGGGAGTGATATTTGCAATCTCTGGGTTTAACAACCCCATTCTCAGGCGACCTTACAGCTCCTCTCTACCTGGGAAACAACTGCCTGCACTGTTCCCTGGTTAAGTATTTAGAATGATTTCTGTACTGATCAGATGCTGGTAAATATGTAGCTTTTGTCCACAGTGCCACTGTGTGTCTTTTGCAGATGAAGCCATTCCTGACCTGATTCTGGTTTAGTAACCTTTAATTGAGACCACAGACTCCTTTTCTTATCAGATAAATGTCCCTTTTAAGTTTCTGTTTTAAAACATTGATTGTAATTTACATGTAGTTATGGTTCATGGCAAACTGGACTACTTACCTAAAACTTTTGCTGATAAATATTTATTCCTTTTTATTCTCTTAATAATGAGTGACCTGATCTTGTGTTTGTCTTAAATACTTGATTTTTGTTGTTGCCTTTTACTTTTATAAAGATACTGTCATTGCATATATAAATTTGTTAACATTTAAAAGTTATTTAACTGCAGACATCTACAAAGTATATAACTTTACAATAAGTCAGATTTACATGAGGCATTGAGATAGTGAGAATTAAATTGGGAAACATCCTGAATGATGCCTGAGTTCAGCAAGATCCTTTGAGATGCCTTTAACAGTCCTTTGTATATCATGTGTGACAGATAAGTGAACCTACTACTTTTTTGTCTCTGTCATATAAAGAGGAAAATCTCACAATAGATGACTTCCTTTTACTGTATTGGAAACATCTTTGCAGAGCACAGTGGAAATGAGCAAATGTAAAGTCAGGGACAGTCAAACCCATAATTCTGAATGTTTGGGCTCTTGTTAACATGTACTATGAAGAAAGGTGGACCATTGTGCAGGGCTTTTCGTGGCTTTGAATATTTTCTGTAGAGAAAGAGAACATGTATTCAAGATTAAACAAGGAAATTCTACTGCCTTCCTCTTACATAATGCTTCTGAATTGGTGTAACTTTCTTAATATGATACTAAAGTTTTAACTGTGACTAATTTTGCATATCAACATCTGCACTCATTTAAGATCTGGGGCAATATAACGTCCGTATATAAAACTTCAAACTCCAGAACAGACATTTTTGAAGAACTTCTTGAGATAAATGACAGCCTTTGGCCTTAGTATCCTAAGATGGATGGCCCTTCCAATGGCCATTTTTTATGTTAGCTGCTAATGAGTATTATTGAGTCACTGACTAATTCTGGAGAACATTTTGGTGAATTATAATTGGGCTGTGATTTACTGAGTATGAAGACTGACAGGCTGTTCCTTAGCCTGTAATTGCTATAGAAGCAGAGAAAAGTACCCTGGTGATCAGCATTTCCTTTTTGCAGGGAAGTCAAAAGTATAATTTCAGCCAAAATAGAATATTATTTTTTTCAGCCATTTCTACATTTTACTTTTATTAAATATGGCAGGGTAATGAGAAGTTCCACTGAACTCTGGAAAGGAAATCTCTTATGTACGTCTTATTCTAGTGTTTAATACAGTATATAAAGCATCATCTACCATTGATACTAGTTGGTATTAAAGTCATTATAGTCAGTGAACCACAAAATAGTCTATGTTAGAGGTATAGAACTCAGAATTGTGGGCCATAATAGAAAGAATAGAACAGAATCATGGGACAGGTACACTCACTGTGTAACTTTTTATTACTAGGATAAAACCTAGCTTTTGTAGTCATTGGGTTTATTGGGTGTCTGGTTGTGTTTATCTGTGTTTCTGAACCGTCTGGAAGAAAGGATAGCATGGTCAGATATGAAATAAGAAAAAATAAATCTAGATAGATCTATAGATATATGAGAGATTCATTCTTAAATAGAAACTGGACACAGACTCCTACTTACATTTCTTTACCATATTTTTAGTGCCAATGGGTTGTTGGCTTTGGCATTTGCTTATTTTAGTTTCTCTTGAGCACTTTTGTTTGTAAGATGGTAATTCTGTGTGTGTGTGTGCTAACGTTTCAGTTAAATGGGTCAGAAAGGTATGGTTTTCTTGGTCAACTGATTTGGGGAGGGAGGTGTTGAGACAGAGGCTTGTTATGTAGCCCGGGCTGGCTTTGAACCTGTGTTGTTTTTTTACCTCAGCCTCCCAAGTGCTGGAGTTACTGGCGTGCACCACCATGCCCAGCAGATAAACAATTCAGCACTTTCCAGTTTGCTCCTGAGCCAGAGGACTACCTAAGCTTTAGCCCTTGTGCTCTTTCCACTTTTTCAAAACTTTGAACATGCTAGACTACTGTTTGCTCTAAACAGTCCCTTCATATGGGCTTTTCTATCTCCCTGACATTTTTTGTTAAGCTTCTCCCTCAGCTCCTGTTCATCCAGCCAACCTTTAAATGTTGTGCTTCTTAAAAGACTTGGTCGCAAATCTCTTTTTTTTCTGCTGTACTTTCTAAGGAGCCAACCTGGACCCTGCTTCAGGAACCACACACACAGTTCTTTCTTTTTGGAGGATCTTCCCTGCAACCTTTTCCTCTCTAACTCTTACTCATTTTTCTTCCCTTGCTCTTATCCAGGTACTGGCCCATCTGCTTTTTTTCTTAAGCATACTCTGTTCTTCATTTTGAAGTTTATTCCGTTTCCAGCTGGATGATGGTTAAAGTCTGTTTATCATGGTTCAGCAAAAAAGCCATATATTAGTTCATGAAGCTTTCTATAACCACTAATTTTTAAAAAAAAATTCGGACCAGGACATTAAAAAAAGACCAATTAATGTTTTCATATCACACATAGCTCTCTTCACATTTACCTCCTGTTTTTGTGTATATGTGTCATATACCATAGAAGGCAATTAAATTCCTCAAAGGCAAGGGTCTGAGCTTCAACTTAATTGTATCTACCGCAGAACATAGAATAGTATCTTACACATAGTAATTACATAATAAATATTCACTGGGGTAAATTAATGAAAAAAGTCACTAAATCAAGGAACGGGAAACATTTCCATTATAGCTTCCAGAATTTCTTCATTTACATTTCAAAAGCAGTGGGGGCTGTGGAGTCTTTGGTTTTATTGCCCTTGGCCTGCAAAAGTTTTTTTATTTGTGCCCAGAAATATAATGCTGAGTGAATTTTATATCAGACTAAGAAAGTAGGCTGCTTTCTCAGGGGTCTGAAAAATATCAAACATCTGTGTTATTTTACCCTTCTAAGTTGAAAAATGGAAGATAGTTTCTATTTGCTCTGAGATTCTTGTTGATGGTTTTCTGCTTTGCCCACTAATCAGGATGGTATGTGCCTTGTTAGAAAAGACCCTCTGAACATTCTCTCCTTTGAATTGTAGTTGGATATTAATTTACTGCTGGAGGATATATTGGTAAAGATTTCTGAAATTGCAAGGAAGTGTTTCTTTAATCCTTTAGGTTTTTTAAATGCTTTATTATAATGGAGATTATAATCTCTTAGTTGGTAGAAGAGAAATAGTTGCTGGGGATATTTTTTTCTATCCTGCAAAATTGCTGTATTAAAAAATGCTTTGTCCAGTTTTTTTTCTTTTTTTAAATTTCTTTTCACATGCTGTAAAGTCCTTGGCAAACAAGTACATGACACCAACTTCATGTCTTTCATAAGATATTGAACAGTGTTAAGGTCATTAATTCATAGAATTAGTGGCCTTGAGCCTTTTCAGGTGAACAGTGAAGGTGGTTGGCCTTAGTATTGTGCTCCTACACATTTTGACTACCAGAATACTCAAATGAGGTCATGAATGTGGGAATCTTCACACTTAGAATATCTTGACCATTCAGCATGAGTTCTCAAATAGTCAGTTAATGAGTTTCGGGGGACAAAGCATAATGAACCATTAGGCCATAATGATTATGTCTCCTTGATTGTTCTTCATCACAGATATAAAGGGTCAATTTTGATTTGCTCAGCAGATTTAAGTTCCCTTGACTTTTCACATTTCTATTTTCATATTGAAGAATTTTGTTTCTTTGTGAGACAGCCTCCAGTTGCAACCTACTTTGGAAATGATAACATTATTAATGTACTTCTTCGTTCTGTAACATTTCTGGCATTCCTTGTTGACTGTTTATTAAGTATTTATAGCTTAGGGAATGCTGAGCACCATGGGAAATATTTACGTCCAGCTAAGAGCATAAGACCTGTAGCAGTGATTTCTCATCTCATGGAATGCTGGGTTAAGACTGGGTCTGTTCTTTTCCCATATAATTGGGGATTGGTAAAAGATAGGGTATCCCTGGTTCTTTACTTTTCAGAGTCTTGTGCTGTTTGACAATTATCCTGAGAGGAGTTGGGGGAGGGACTGGAAGATCTGTTTCCTATGAATATATTAGAAATGGTAGTTTTGAATTGTTCAAATGGTGCCTGAATCCAGGGGTAAGGGGAATAAAAGACAACAAGATTTTAAAAAACAATTACCAAATTTAAATTGTGTTGAACATCCTCAAGGAATACTTAGCACTAAGCATTATAGAAATTTAATTTTATTTCTTGACAAATAGCTGTATTACCCAAGTTTCACAAATACAGACTTTTGAAATGAGAGTTTTGCATCTTTTCCCCCCAAAAGATGTCTTGCTATTGTGTGTGCTGATCATAAGGCTCTTGCATCGTACTTCATTTTGTAGGCACACACCAGGCGACACACTCTGCGCCTAATAAGCATCATTCACAGGTAGGAAAATAAATTTACTCTTTTACGTTCTAGCAAGTCACCAGCTAGTAAACCACATTGAGCAGTTTTTGGATACAAACGAAATACCTTATTTTATGAAGAGCTTGGACTGCATCAAAGCCTTCCGGGAAGAAGCCATTAAGGTAACTCTGTCCTTACCTGTCTTTTTTTCCCATACAACTGGCAGCCATTGCAAGAGAGAGAGAGAGAGAGAGAGAGAGAGAGAGAGAGAGAGAGAGAGAGAGAGAGAGAGACAGCTTTCCACAAATAAGCCTGGGCTTTGGAAATCATTATTTTCACCGTGAATAGCAATATATGCCAAGAGAAGTGGCAATGATGAAACTCACATTATTGTCATTTCTGAGGAAGAATTCAGGTGGGCCGGTGGGAGGGATGTCTTAGCTCTAGCTTTTATGACATCAAAGCCCTGGCTTTCTGTTCCCACTTAGGAAACCGAGGAAATTTCCATTGTAACCTCTGGCAGCCCTATTGTTATTATAAAAACTAACTATTGTATTGGAACTCTTTGAGCTATATTAAGGAAATTGACAGAAATATATATTGGTATAATTACTGAGGATTTTATAAAGACAGTAATGGTGTAAGTGCAGGAAAAAAAGAACACTTCCATTGTTAATAGTTACTCAGCTTCTCCTCACTATTTATTACAGTTTTTTGGTTTTATTAGGAATTTTTAGAAAACACTTCTAAAAATCTACCAAATTATCTGTAGCTTTTAAACTGCTAGGCAAGAGGTGAGCAAGTTTTAATTTAGAAAACATATTTTTAAAGTAGACACAGTTATACGTGTTTGTGAGGTGTTTATTAAATGTTTGCTGAATAAATGAAAAAAATCAATGCTTGAATAATTTAAGTACTTATAAAGAATGACAAGAAGATGAGAAAATAGTTAAAATTAAATTAAAATAAAAGATTCAGAAGGAGATGCCCCAAATACCTTACAGATAAAAGACAAAATTGTGGGCAAGTAGAGTTAAGACTGAGTGACTCAGGTAGAGAAAGGTATGATTGGATGCAAAAAGGTCATAAAATATGTTGCTTTTTAAAAAACAAAACACACTGTCCCAAGCTGCACAGGGCATTTGATAACACTCTACAGTACAGCTACTGCATGTCCTTAGAAGTACCAGGTCACTGGGTTCTTATAAAAAGAGGGAGAGCTGAAGCTATAGCTGTAGGTCAGTTTGAGAGCACCTAGCTTGCATGCATGAAGACTTGGATTTAATACCCAGCACCAAAAATAAATAAAATAAAACAGAGATAGGAGCAAAACAGATTTTAGAGACATGTATCAGTCAATCTTAGTATAGATCATTTTAAAAACTGTAAATCATTTTTTGAAGTGTAAATTTTTTGTTTGTTTGTTTTGGTCCTTTTTTTTGAGACAGGGTCTCGCTATGCAGTTCAGGCTGGCCTTGAGCTCACTTTGTAGGCTGGTCTCGAACTCACAACGATCCTCCCACCTCAGCCTCCTGAGTGCTGGGATTACAGGCATGAGCCACCACGCCTGGCTTTAAATTTTTTTTTAACAGAAGGAAATGTACAGTAAGAAAATATGAATACTAACAGGTTATTTGTTCCTGTTAAGGTATGAGTAATTGTTGTGTGATATGTAATGGCACTTGCGTATGTTTTCTCACCCTTATATATAAATATGTAAATATACATAAATATATATATAAAGATTGTAATTTAGATATTGAATACTGAAATATTTGTAAATGAAATAAAGTTAATAAAATTTGCTTTGAAACAACTAGTAGTTCTGGGAGAAAGTAAGGATGTAGATGAAACAAAATGGATGAGTATTGAAGCTGAGTGATCAGTGTATGAGCATTCGCTAAGTTATTCTGGTTTTGCTTGAAATGGTCTGCATGAAAAGTTAAAGGTAGTGCTCTAGGCTACTAGAAACAGCGTGCAGCTGTGGGAAGTGCTATGCCTTCTGGTTCTGGTTCTCAACAAACCAAGATCAAATTGAATTGCCGGTTGCAGTTTACCAAAGAAGGACAGTTTCTTTCTTTATAAATATGGTGGATTCAAAATGTGTAGTACTTTAGTCCAGGGGAGAATTTGGTTTTGTATCTGCTCTGAATGCCACTTCCTCTTCCCTTGTGGGTTCCCAGTTTTCAGAAGAACAGCGCTTTAACAGTTTCCTGAAAGCCCTTCGAGAGAAAGTGGAAATTAAACAGTTAAATCATTTCTGGGAAATCGTTGTTCAAGGTAAAGGGTCATTTTTCTTCCAAATGTTTATGCGATTTTTAAAAATATACACATCGCCTCTAAATATAAATGATATCATGTGATATCTTACATGGGACCTGATGACGTCCCCATTTGGCCTTGGGAAAGGCTTAGGATTTGTTGAACATAAAATTCTGCTTAATTAGCATAAATGCAGAGTGATAAAAACCAAGTAAGCACAGGCAGCATGTCTCAGGCTGTACATGGCATAACAGGATTCCGAGACTGCGCCTCGCTGTTACCTGAAGCCACTGTGAGAGCCACTGACCCGCCTTGGATTCCCAGGCGTTTCCATTGTGGATTCCTAGGCCATTGCCTAGGCATTTCCATTTTGCTGGGTCCTGCAGGACTCGGACTGCCCCACATTTGCTGCCTGTTACTGTCCGCGACCCTGCTCTTGGGCTGTCCTTCTCGGTAGCCCCACACAGTCATCTGCCAGAGCCATTCCATTTCTCACTTACTCTTAGAACTCGTGAGTGTTAAGCCCAGAGGGAAGGGAACACATATTCTTTCGGTATTATCAGGCTTGATGTTTGATTTCCTTCATGCCCTTTTCACAGTTTTTAAAACTTGACCCAATTTTCTGTTAGAACCCAAGTGTGAGATATTATTTATTAAAAATGCATATTAGAATACATTTAAGAGATTATAAGAAGCTTTTCCACTATAATAGGAGACAAAATTAGTTTCAATCCATCTTTTATGTAAATTGTGTATGAAAGGAGTTGCATACCCTCTAACAGTGTTTTACCACATAGGCAACTTTTTGCCTGACAGCTATTTTTTTCAGCCCTTTAACTGTTAGGCTGAGAGCAAAAGCAATTAGGATGCCTGGTGAATGGAGCTTATTCAATCACTTTTGTGTCTCTCCCTCTGACCCAGTAAATAAAAGAGGTTGATGTGGACATTCATTGAATACCTAGAACATTATTTGCTGAGAAAAAAATCTTACAGGATATCCACAATACACATATTTTCTGAGAGTCTGCATCTACTGAAATAATACATACAACCCATACTATTTTTAAGTACAAATGTATGTTAAATACATGTACTTTTCTGAATATATCATGCACTAGCCATTTGAGATAGGAAAAAAATCTTATGAAGAAAAAACTACTAAAGGCTCGATTTTTGATTTGCCCTCACAGATAAAAGCAATGTGCTTTGTTGAATGATAAACATGTCAATTGTAAAAGCATGTTTCCCCCTGATCTGTTCACTGACCATTTTATTTTTATTTTATTTTTATGACCAGCAATACTACTATAAGTCACAATGCACACAGAGTCCAGCATTGCATACCTGATGGGTTTATACAAAGCATACATTCATTCAGGCATTTATTCATTGAGCTTTTCATGTGTGCTGCATAGAGAAGAATAGATGAATAAGACCTAGTCCCTGCCCTTGAGGAAAATATAGTCCATGAGGACATATAACATATACAGACAGTTATGTAAGATGTAATAAGAGCTATTTGAAAGGGAGAGACAAAGTGATCTGAGAGTTCTGAAAAAGAAATTTTCTTTCTGGAGCAGACCAAGGAAGACACATGAGGTGGCTAGAGTTTGAGATGTGGCCTTTATTTCTCATTGTACTAGCGAAAATGGAAGAAAGGATAACACTGTAAAATGGGACAACAAGGTATATTCACTGATATTATAGATTGGTATTATTTTTAGGATGGGGCACCTTTATAGTTGTACGAGTCTCCAGATCCAAGATGGGTGGAATTGTGGAAAGGAGAGGAGCTGAGACTGACTGTGTGTGTTAGATTTTATTCTGTGAATTCTTTTTTAGATGGAATTACTCTGATCAGCAAAGATGAAGCTTCTGGGAGCTCTGTCACATCTGAGGAAGCCAAAAAGGTATGCAGAGATAACCCCTATCTTTAGATGAATTAATGCAGTAGATATGATTTTCCTTGACATCCGTACAAAAAGTAAATTTTAAGAATAGAGTGTGCACTCTTTCTTTATTCAGCCAACAAGCTAATTGCTTCAGTTGCATCTTCCTCGTAGGAAGATGTAATTGACTCAGTTTCCTATAGGCAGGATTATGTTTCTAGAACTCATTTGTAATCCCAGCTTTCAGGTGCTACTAAACTCAACATACCAAGCTTATCTGGACCCAGGTAAAGGTTATAAAGTTCTTCTAGCCCAGTGATTCTCATCCTAGCCACACATTATTCATCTGAGAAGGTTGATTTCTCTCTCTCTTTTGCTCAGTTTCTGTCTGTCTGTCTCTCTTTTTTTAAAAATCAGAATCAGCTGGGTGTAGCACATGTCCACAATCCCAACACTCGGAGAGGCTGAAGAAGGATTAAAAGTTCAAGTCCAGTAGACAACTTTGCAATGTAAAAAGACCATGCCTCAAAATAAAAAATTCAGAGAGCTGGGGACGTAGCTCAGTGCTAAGGTCTCTAGTACCTCCTCTTCCCACAAATCAGAATCACCCTAGAGATTCTATTTTGTGAGTTTGAGATGGGTCCTAAACACTATTTGTTTGAATTTTTAAAGGCTCTCAGTTCCTCAGGTTTGTATTGTGCATCAATAGGCAAAACACTCAGGCTAGGGTAAGGGTCACTCAGGTGTTTTCAGTAAAGACCTCATGTGCTTTTGATTGACACAGTTGTTAGGTCAAGGCGTCCCTTCTTAATTTATGAATACCATATTGAATCTGATTCAGTTATGAACCAGATACATTTGATTAGTTAGTTTGGTAATCATTGTACACTCCAGTTGTGATGAAATTTGAATGAAGTTACATCAAATAGCTCCTAACATCGTTTCACTGATCTCATCCCACCGGCACAGTCCTGGCGGTTACTGAACTTGTGCTGTGTCTGCAGTGCTCAGCACTTGTGCCCTTGAGAAGCTCACACGAGTGGCAGTGTGCTAAGGGAGGCTTGATTGGGGTGGACGGGTAAGACTGTTACAGAAATGGCAGGAACAAGGATGAAATGTTCACCATATGTCTCAACTTAGGACGTATTGAAAATGCCTTAAATTTTCAACTCAGGGTGGTTTAGCAGACACTATAAGATTGTCTGAGAGATGTTAATCGATATATAAGAGTTTTCACCAAAAACTGCCTGATAAATTTTTGTTAAAGAAAAGATATGATCCCTACTTTAGAGAGTAAGATTCCAGAATTTTAGAAGCATACTCAAGGGTGCTAACTGTTGTCTTTGGGGCTTCCATGGTGTCTGTACCTTCTTCTGCCAGTACTGAGTATGGCACATAATCTTCAGCATGGCACTTAACTGTTTGGTTTTATATCTGTTTATCACTTTGTACAGTATTGTGACCACCTTCTCCTACTAGAGTGTATCAGTCAGGGTTCTCCAGAGAAGTAGAATCTGTAGAGCACAGACACACACACAGCTCATTTGACTCATTTAGGGAGTTGACTCGTGTTATTGTAGAGGCTGGCAAGTCTGACATTTATTGGGCAGGCTGACCGGAATTTTATTTTACAGTCTTGACCCAGAATTCCTTCTTCAGGACACCTTAGGTTTTTTTCTCTTATGTTCTTCAATTGATGGCATAATGCCTACTAACACTTTCAAGGCCGATTATCTTAAAGACAGCTGATCATACATGTTAATGTCATCTACGGCAACATACAGAGTAGTGATTTTTGTTTCCATTTCTTCAGTGGTACTGGAGAATGAACACAGGGCATTCACACTGAGCTGCATGCCTAACTTTTTTTAAATTTTGGGATGCTGGTGCCCAGGCAAGACTCAAACTTGCAGTCTTCTTGCCTCAGCTTTCCGAGTGCTAAGTACTTGGATGATGATAAACAGCTGGGTTCCACAAACTAAGCAGGTTGACACATGATATTAATCATCACATACAGCAAAGTCTTATCACTAGTTTTCTTAAACAAGAAAAAAAATCAGGACATGTAATTTAATTTTAGTCATTATTACCTACCAAAATTTGTCATTCAGGTTAGGGTTGGGCACATATTAACAGTTTTTGGAGGAAGCAGGGAGTGCTGATATATAAAAGGTAATGTTTACCCCCAGCAGTACATCTTAACCAGAAATGTCACAGCTCAGTGAATCCAGACTATTGGGGAGAAAAGGACTCTGAAAAAAGGATAATGTGCTTTCAAATTGTGGGAGGCTTGTTCTGTATTGCAAATGTGATGTCTTCTTTGGAATTTAGGGGCACAGAGCCTAAGCATCAGAATTTTATGTCTGATAACTAAGCTAGAGAGAGAAATTTCAGTTAATTGCTAGGTATGAGGTGTATCCTTAGCTGTTTCTAATATCACCAGAACAGACTTCAGTTGTAGTTTAAGACAACTCTGGGAACTTCACCGTGTTTGAATAAAGAGAACATAGTAAAAGACCAGTGGAACCAACCTCTCAGTCCTTGTTGGCTTATTGTGACCGGCGTCTTCTTCCTTTGGAGGGCAGTGTTTTCAGTCTAAGCACAGTGAGCAGGCTTCCAGTAAGCCAGCAACACCTCCTTGTCAAGGGAGATGAGAAATGGAGAGATTCCCTTCAACTATACAGAATGCCAGCTTTATGCGAGGCAGTTTGACACGTAGTATCTTGCAGTCTCTGAAAAAGTCTGTTGCACAGTAACTGTGCAGCTGTGCAGATTCTTTTATGTCTTAGAAGATGCCATTTTCTTTTCTGCTTCACATTTACCAGTGCTTCAGCCCCTTTTAATATTTATGCTAAATGTTTACATAACATTTTGCCATTTACATTATCTAATGTTTAGCTAATGTATATCTATATATTGCTCTGTCTATATATATATCTCCCAGATAATGATGAAAAATAATAGTAATAAAGTTTTGTACATATCTAACTCGAACCAAAATATCCTGTATCATTTCTCTGATCCTTGCAGTGACCTGCTAAGAATTAGCAGGAATAGAATACCATCACTTTTATCACTGGGAAGCCAAGCCCTAGAAAGGTTGGTGGGGGGTATACTGTGGGAACCCAGACAAGGATGAAAATGCTGCTTCCCGGGCACTTCACTGGGCTTTCATTCCTAAGTGGATTCTCTTACAAGTGGAACATTAACCGGCTATCTCTAAAATACAAAAAGTCTCTATCTCCTTCATCTCAGCAAATGACTGTGTGGCCATAGGTGATGGTGATTAAAAGACCTGAGGACCACAGAGTACAGGTTGAGTTCTGACTCACCTTGAGCATATTCTCTATCTTGTCTGGCTTGCAAAAATTATACTTTTATGTGTGGTGCCTAGTGATAGTATAGCAGTTACAAAAGTATAATTATGTGTCTCATGCCTGTAATCCCAGAACTCTGTGAGCCTGCGGCAGGAGGATTGCAAGTTCATGCAAAAAAAGCTGCAGATGTACACAGCTCAGTGCAGAGGCCATAGGTTCAGTCTCTAGTACCCCCATCCCAGCCCATGACTTCCTTGTTCAGAGTGAAATCTTGATCCTTCTATTAAAAATGTTTTTGAATGGCATCTGTTAATTTTTAGAAGTGATGAAGTGGGGAGCACATATACCTGATAATAGGAAGAACTACAGACTAACAATTGGGCTCAAGAAAGCTGATTCCTGTGGTTCTAGTAGGAGAGATATCTATTCTTCAGCTATTTCTCTTAACCAGGTTAGGGCTAAGTGTGATCCAGGTTAGGGAAAGTGTGATCACTTCTGACCACGCACTGAAGTATTCATGTACTTCTTGATCACATGTTGAGTTTGGATACTTCTCAAATGCTCACTTAAGGGCTATAATGAGAGAGATAGAACAGTCTTCACAGTCCATTTAAATTCTTTCAAAGTATTTACCATACGTAGTTTAAAGGTAGCAAGCTTTTGAGTTCTTGTCATTAAATGTTGACATTTGAAAGGAAATAATTATCTGGGGTGTCAGTTTCAAGTGAAAATTAAATTATAACTTTACACTTGTACAACATCTGAAGGAGAGCCATTTCTCCCCATTGTGTTTTAGAAAAATGGTGTGAATTTTATGATTCTTTTCGACTCAGAGGTAAGTCAGCCATGCAGCAGACGTCATCTAACTTTAGATAACCTAATTAGCTCTCATTTCAATGAAACCCAGGCATAAATATTGCCCTTCTTTTCTTTCTTTCTTTCTTTCTTTTTTTTTTTTTTTTTTTTGGTACCAGGGATCAAACTCATGACCTTGCATTTGTCAGGCAGGCACTTAAGCCACTGAGCTAAATCCCTGGCCCTTTCCCTTCTTTTGTAAGTCATTTTTAATGTCATTGTAACCTGTCAGTTCTTTCACCTGACTTTTTCTATCTCGAATTGGTTATGTTAGACTCGCTAGTAGCATTTGATGTTAGGTAGAATCATTGTGTGACCAGGTGCCTTTACCCATCACTACTTCCTCTGTGGTGAGTAGGAGAGGTAAAGTGATGTGTCTGAGATGTCACTGAAAGTCACTGGCCAGGAATCCAGTTCTAGGACTGACACCCAGTTCTTGTCTTTTTTACCCTATTTTAAGAACACAAGGAGAATTTATTCCATGGTATCAGAATAGTATTTTTTAAAAGAGTGTCCAAAAGGCTGAGCTGTATAAATAATCATTGGATACAAACTTCATGGGGTTAGGGGAGAGTTTTAGCACTTGGTGGCTCATCTGGTCTTCCTTCTGTTGTTTATTGATTTTCTGCTTTAGCATCACAGAAGCTCAGACCTTAGTGATCTGGTTATTTCACCTACAACACCTCTAGCGAGGAGAAGTTGACTAGCTCAGTGTCTCCAGCCACCCTCCAGTCATACCACTGCACCACCTCACCGGCTTCACCAACCAAATGCACCGAGAGAGGAGACAGGCATGTTCTCTCTTTCAAGAGTACACCTGGTTGTGTGTATATGATTGTGTAAGAGATCATTAAGGCCTTGGGGGGAATTCTAAGACAGAGTTTAATATGTAGTCATCTCACTACCTGCTGGCCCGTTATACCCTATGACATTTTCCTTTGCCGTGTTCTGCTTTAAATCTCTGTACAGACAGTTTTTCTGTATGCTAGCATAAGAGAAGTAGTAGTAGATATCACAGTTACTTATTTGTTTAGAACTGAATTTCAAGATACAATTTTAAAATTTGAATTAAGATAAAACATACACAGTAAAAACACACATCACATGACATACAACTTGCTGGATTTTTACATATTCATATTCCTGGTGCCTAACACTCAGAAGGGTCCCTGGTATCTTCCTAAGCAGAACCCACTGTCCCTTAGATAATGTCGTGACTTAGGATTAGGATAGGGTTAGGGTTAGAGTTAGTAGAGTAGTGTTGCTGGTTATTGATTATTCAGATAATTGGAATCATGCCTTTTGTGATCCATTCATGATAAATTGTTATAGCTATGTAGTGTCCCTTTTATGATTATGTTTACTCATCTGTTATGGTAATGATAGACATTTGTTTCTAGTCTTTGTCATATGATAGATTTTCTTATACATATCACTTGGTGGACATATATGGCGTATCTTCCTAATAGTTAATATGTAAAACTTACATTATTTGAAAGCATTTTTGCATGCTTTATATCATCTGAAATTCACTATGACCCATGAGATAGATAGGGTAAAAAGTGTTGTTTCCATTTTATTTTTGCAGAAGATTAGTTATAAAATCAGGTTGGTTGTCCAGAGTCCCTGAGACTCTAACAGAGATAAGGCGATGATTGTGTTTTCCACACTAGCCTGCAGAATTTCTCTGCTGCATTCTTATTACCTTTGTTGCATGCCATAAACTACAAATGACAGTAACGAAACCTATCTTTATGCTATTTTGTGTAAACTTTTGTCTTAAAACATTACACATCTGGAATCATCTGATAGTGTTGGAACTAGCTTGATGGAAGCTGCATGTTTTTAATCTGGGCATTGATAAGGGTCCGAGCACAAGCCAGTTGTTAGTTTTTAGTCTTCTGGTGGGATAACACTTGGCAGTTCCTACATGGAATTTATTGATTCTGCTTCTCTGCATGTAGCAGGATTGTATTTCATTGTACTTAAAAAGTAGCCATCTATTCATTTCATGAAGATCTCCAGGTAAGGAGGCTCTTTGTGGTAACCCCAAGTAAATGATAGTTTGAGAAAGCAAAAGTATGTCACAGAAATGTCCTTTCTATTTATTCTCTGCCTTTTCAGCACATTGCAAAGGGAGAGAATCAGAGAAAAGATGAGAGTTGACTCCTGACCCGTTGCTACATTCAGAGAATGTTTTCCTTTTATTGAGAAAGCAGGCCAATCCTTGAATTCTCTCTCTCTAGCTTCCCTGTCACTGCACAGCTTGGAAATTACTAGCAGTTAAAAACTCTGATGCGAAAAGGAGTGGTATGTGTAAGAGAGCAGCCTGGTCTGGAGTTTTAGGGAGGATAGTGGATGGCAGCCCAGCTCTTACCCATAATTTGCTTACACAGAAATGTGAAGCAAGTCCACCAGGGAAATCAGTTACAGATGCTTAGCACTTGATGGAGATGCAAGGTTTTTTCTTCTGCTGCTCCTCTCGTCCTAGGAAGGCGGCCCCGTGTTAGAGACAGGCCGTCCATGTTTAATTATGTATACCACGTTCATACCGTGCACACAGTGCTCTCCTAGTTTTCTCTTTACTCATACTAAGGAAAGGGCTTTGCAGGTTGGAGAGGAAGTGAGAATTGGAGCTTTTAGAGGCTGAGTGCCACAGCCTAAGTATTTTCTGGATTCATCAATAAGTACCTACCATGTTTCAGGCTAGCAAGGTGAACAGTGTAGCAGTGACTGTTGCACCACTGAGTCTGTGGTGTTTGTCATTTGGGACGTGCTGGTCATTCATGGCCCCGTAGATGTTTATGGCAACATGCATTTGTATCTGTTATGCTTTTCACCCTAGCTGGGTCTTTTGTGGGTCGGGTAGTGGGGTGTGGCCAGGGTTAGGAGCATTGAACCCAGAGCTTCATGCAGACTAAGAGTGACATCTCCAGCCCTCACCCTGACTGGATAAATCATCTATTAACCATGATCAGTGGTTAATGATAATAAATAGTGGCAAGATACAGAATAAAAATTATTTTTAGTACTAATAATAATTAGGCGAATGATACAGATTAATTTGGGAATCTAGGGTAGAGCAGTTTATTTAACTTTAAACATAAACCATGTGCAACTGTATGTATTCCTTACTCATTTATCTATAATTGGCCCTCAGATATCTTTATTAATAATCACTTGGAGTAAGTAGAACTGATGATACAGAAGCTACATTACAGTTCTATTCCAGATTGTCTGCCCCTGTTATCAGCATTTTTTCTCGTAGAGTGTTGATTCTCAGCCCTGTTCCAGTTTGGGACCACAAATCGGACTATATTCCTTAATCTTTCAGTCAAAATAGAGGCCAGTGAACAGTGAGAGAGAAGGTGCTGGGGAGAGGTTCAGTTGGCAAACCATCATGGCATGTCCCTAGTGCTGATGAAGGAGTGGCCTTCTCTGTCACCATCATGTTCCTGTGTGTGAGTAGTGCGTGGGCTGGAAGGGCAGGCAGAGGGATGCCGCGAGAGCCCTGCCCCCCTTCCATCACCCTCTTTAAAACACTTCTCCAGGCTTAACTCTGCTGCCAGCTGTGGTGGTGATGTTACCAGGAAACCACTGCATAAAGTTAGACTAGAACTTTGTCAGTCACATCTGGTCCTTACATCCAGCTGCCATATGCCTGGAGTTTGAGAAGACTCCCCGCTGTTATCTCTTGGATGAACAGGTTGGGAAGTGTTGAAGTAATTTTTAGGGGTACTCATTTACTTTTTAAAAATCTGGATTCGTCCTAGATCCCTGTAGACTTGACTTCAGGGGCCTCGCATTTTCTGTGTCTGTCTTCTTGAAACTCCAGGTCTGGAGCACTGGTACTAAACAGAAGTGTTCTCCCTTTCCAGTCGGCCTGCTTTCAGTCTCTAACACAAATGGAAGAATTTCCACAAAAGGGATTAAACAGCCTCCCAGGCTTTTATTCTTTTCCTGTGTCCATCTCTCACAGGAAGTCCTCCTTTTACCTCTCTTGTCCTTAATGAGGTTCAGGAGTCAAAAATTATAATCTTTATTCTTACGCTCCTTTCAAAAGAACCTAAGACACACTGGCTTGGGGTGCTTGGTTACTTTGTTAACCTTAATATCTCAGTGTATATTCCCTGAGGAATCAGAAATGAAAGGCTGTATTCGGTGTCCACAGTGTTGATGTGGGGCCCTTCTCGTGTTACCTTCTTAACCAGCCCTGTCATTTTCTCCTTTTCAGAAGAACTTTTCCGGTGAATAATTAGACTGGACTGTTGCACCTCAGAATTGATCCTTTTTTTCCAGAGCCCAGGAAGGATGATGATGTTTCTTTGGGCCATTTGCAGTGAGGCTTTGCTAGGCAGGTCCTCCTAGGTTTGCCTTTGGCAGTATTAGCAGACTGTTCCTCCAGAGGAGACACACACATCATTTAGTACCATGACTGTCTGTTCACAGTTTCTGGCTCCCAGCAAGAAAGGAGATGAAGATACTGCAGCTGTATTGGAAGAAGGCGGTGATGTGGAGGACTTAGTAAGTATTTTTAATATATATCAAGTATTCTAAAGACTACATGTAGCCACAAACATTGCTTATCAAAGGCTTGTTTCTTATTTGTGTTTAATTTCTAGCACCCCAGAAGCTCCTTACACTATTATTTATTGCCATTATAAATTTAGCCAGACAGGTAATTTTGTAATGGAAATTCCTGTGTTCTGTGATTTCAGCCACATTGCTCATTCAGATTAATCCTCACCATTGAAGGGCTTAAGAAAAAAAAAAAACAGCTGAGAAGGCTAGTAGCAAGATGTTATAATTTACTGAAACTGCTTTTAACCAAAAATAAGCAATACATCATGTAATTTGTGTGGGTTGGCAAATAAAAACTTTTAAAAAGCCAATTTCTTAAATGTTCTCAATTAATATAAACGAACTAGACTGATAGGCATTTTAGGGTTTCTGGTTTGTTATACCATATCGTAAGTGCCTGGAAAACTATGTAGATGTTAGCCTTTGCATCCATCTTTCTATTTGGAAACTTCTTGCCTTTAAGCCTGATAACAGGCCTGCAAAAGTACATGCTATGCTTTTAGCCTCTTTGTGAAGTTCTTAGTATTGAAAAGGGGAAATATTTAGTAAATAACTTCTACAGTAGTTGGTAATGAGTGGTATACAAGTCCACACATGCTTGCTTTCCAGTGTACTCTCTTGCAGCAGAGCAGCAGGGGTCTGGTTCTTTTCTAAATATCTTCTTTTTGTTTGCAGCTGGACATGATGTAGGTCATGGACATGTGAATCCCAGAACCGTTATCCTCTTGATGCTGGAACTCTGATAGAAAAACCTGGAGGAGGCTGTCCCAAGAACCAGAGCTTTGGAGATCATCCCAGCAAGTTGCTTGAAAGTGACTCACCCTGAGTCTCTGGAGACATGTGTTTAGACCCTGTTCAAGTTTATAAAGTCATTGTTATTTTCTGATCGGTGTGTTCTTTCTTTTTTGGTCTTGTTCTTCTTTGTATATTATACACGTGCTTTGAAATTTCTAGAAGACAGATTTCCTCCTGACCTACTGTATTGGTGGGGATTGCAGCCCTTCTGAAGTGATTAGTGTCTCATCTGGAGCCATGTCATGGTCATTGGTGAGTTTCTTATTCCTTCCCAGGAGCCCTTCGTCTGATCCTCTAGCAACAGTCTCAGTTTATGCTGATGGAGCAATAACATTTGTTTCCTACTAACAGGGAGCTGGCTTAGGGAAATCACCAGTAAGGGCTGACTCATTCCTCTTTAGTTAAGTCTTTTATCATATTACCTCTGTCTATATTCGGATAATTTTCCTTCACCAGTGTAGGCAGGGAACAGTTTCCCAGCATAAACAGGAAGTAGTAATCATGTTTTAAAAGGTCATTTTTTGGCCCAACCTCTACCATAGCAGTGTACCTTAGAGAAAAAACTAAAAACAGAAATTCACTCATAGTGATTAAGATTGTATCATCCTACTATTCTCAATATATAGACCTTAGACTGTTTGGTAATATTAAATGTTTCTTCCTTAATCTTCCAGTCTTTCCTATCTCTACCTAAATTAGATTTTACATCTCTCTTGATAATGCTTGCTTTCTGAAAATGAGGAAACAGTAAAGCCCTATTTTCTTTTTTTCTGTTCTTATTCCTGCCCCAGCCTCTTACTCCTCAGTCTTTGGTATCACAAACTTCTTGATGCCCAGTCACCTGTATCCTTGGCATCCCATAAATAGTCATGGAGAGACTTGACATCATCTTGCAGATATCCTGTTAAAGGCATAAATAATTTGTTCCACTGTGAATTGTTATTGACTGTCTTTAAAAAAAAAAAAAAAGTTTCAGTGTGTGCAAGGAATTAAAGGCCCTTAGAGTGATTGAAAATAGGTCTCCAAGATGGAGCATCATTTGTGTAGAAGGGAGATGAGCAGTTTACTTTGGACCTCTAAGATCTTCCCCTCAATGCTCGGTACTCTTGAGTCAAACTTGACATACAAGAATCCAGTTAAAGGAACCCCAACAAAGGATGCCATGTCACACTGTCTGGTTGCATAGCTAAAGTCCAGGGGATGTTTGTGACTTGAACAAAACTGAGGTGTTCTGAGAATCACTGTGTGAATACTGTTCTCTAAATTGTGCCATATTCTTTCAGGTCCTCCTGACAGTATGTATCAGCTCAGTGAATATGGCCACAAAAACTCTCCTTTTTGGGGGGCGGGGTACCGGGGATCAAACTCACGACTGTGTGCTTGCCAGCAGGTGCTTATGCCACTGTGCTAAATCCCTGGCCTTAGTATGGCCACAATAAACACTTTCTGTCTTTGACAGTTTATGGAATTCTTTCTGGAAACATGAATCTTTTTAAAAAGTCAGATTAGTCCTTAAACTTTCTGATTTAGATTGTATGCAGCAGGAAGAATTGAGATAAAGGACTAAATAGTCAAGTAATTTCCAAATCCATTGCACGTAGACCTAGTATATGTGCTGTGTAGATGTTGTCATAGTATAATGTTGATGTGGGCATATCATTTTTTTAATAACTATCAGCGTCACATTTCCCTGAAACGAGATTTGCAGGTCTACAGAATGCCAGGTTTTCCTGCTGATATCTTGCCTTAGAGAACAGCAATCCGTGAGCCATTATTCGTCAGCTACAGGTTACTAATCCTTAGGAGTTCAGTAGGCTTGCATATAAGTTTGTGTGTAGAAAGACTCTAGTCTCTGGCTTTTTTGGTCACCTGCTGAAATTTATTGACTTAGAAGGCCTGGATAGAAGGGGGTGCCTCTTCTCCCAGTCATAAGGCAAAGGATCCTATGCATTTCCCCTTCGAGGGTGTGGGCTGCCTCATGGTTAACCACTCTGTTCACTGGGTGTGATGGTGCCTACCTATAATCTCAGCTCCTCAAGAGACAGTGGCAGGAGAACTGCAAGCTTGAGGCCAGCTTGGAACTTACCTCAAAGTATCTCCAGACCCTAACTCAAAATAATTTTTAGAAGGACTGGGGATATACCCCAGTGTTAAAGTGCCTGCCTCGCCTGTGTAGGGCCCTGGATTCAATCCCTAGGGCTGCCAACAATAACAAAAAGAACTACTGTTTTAAATACTGGATTTTAATCCTTTACTAATTAATTTACAAATAAAATTTAGAAAACCATGTTGGCGTTAGGAATTTTTTCTTTTCCCAATTCCAGGATCATTTTAAAAATAAACGGGCCCAGATCTGTGCTTGTATTTTGAACATGTACAGTGCTAATCAATCTTTGATTCAGGTGACAGAAACACTGTTTGGTTTCACATCCTTCCCCCTTCCTTTCCACTTCTGTCCCCCAGCTATTCTAGGTTCCGAATGCAAACTCTGGCCCTTCGGAGCACACGTCATGCGGGGACACACTGTGGGAAGGGGTTGGGGGCTGCGGGTGGTGAGTGCCGTGTTGGGCTAGTCTAGATTCCAGGCTTGAGTTGCTGCATGGCCTCTGTGGGGATGCTGCACCTGCCCAGCAGCATCGTAGGCTTATTAAGCCATAGCACAGCCTGAAGTACCCTGTAAGCTCGAAGGTGCTTTCTACCGATAAGCTGGTTTTATGAATGCTGCAAATAGAAAGCATAGGCAACACATAGGGACTTTTTAAATAGGTCTACTTTCTACAGTATCTTTATTTTGCTCCTCTTCCTTTTAGAACTTTGAGCCTTCCAGTGCCGGTTTTCATAATTATCTATTGCTATTAGGCTTAGGTTTTTATCTAGTTATTACAGGAAAAAATTAAAAGTCTCTGTATGACCAGAAGAAATGGGTTAGGGGCTAGAGTTGGTTTTGGTAATTTTGATAGGGTCACCATGCTTACCAGGGAATTATCCTGGCATAATTAAATTAATATTATTCTTTTACTCTCGGAAGTATCCTCAATGTGGGTTACAGATTCTATTTTGAGTGCACTGTAAACATCTCAACTGGGACAGATTCTACTATCCCCCATCTCTTGGTAACTCTGTAGAGCTAAATGCTGATCAAAAGCAAAATAGAAATCAGCATATTACTCTCATATTAGCCTGTTGTAAAGATCTTTGGGACAACTAGATTGTAGCTTATGGCTTAGATTTTTGAGTCTGCTTCCTACTTCCAGACCTTACCAACAACTGGCTGTGAAGCCTGAGATAGCAAAGACTTCTTTCTGAGCCTACTTAGAAGGAGTAGACTCTGGCTTCTTGCCTGGCTAGAAGCATGGAGCAGAAGTGGAAATGCATATGGTGTCTGACACACATATGAACTAGCCTGGTCTAGTCACCAGTCATATTTCTAAGTTCTTGTAGCAGGCAGGGAAAAGAGCTTCCCCTCGCCCACACTTCACCTCCATATAAGGATGTCTGTTTAATCACAAGAAGAGTCACTAATCCCTACTTAGTGTTGGCTTCCTGCAGTTATTTTGAAAAGAAAAGAAATACTCCTTTTCTCCATCTAAACACCATCCAAGATTGGACTTTCTTTATAGAGGCCTAATAGCATAGTGTTTCATAGCACCACCTGGATGTTAGATACCTGGCCTTTATTAAATCCCACTGTCAGTGGCACTTAACAGCTTTATGGTCTTAGCAAGTTCCTTAACCTCTGTAAGCAACAAAAATAATGAAATGTCTCACATTTTGCCTATAAATACAGTGGCTTGGGAGAAGACAGAATCTTCTCAGAGGTGATTCTTTGGTTTTTCAGGAGCTGCTGGATAATGGGAACAGGTGCTGTCTGCAGTGTAAAAGAAGCAGTCCCGGATACGTGCCCCATCCTCAGCTCACACTGCACGTTTCCCAGGCACACCTGTCTTACACTGTTGCACTGGAGGGGAGGGGAGGGCGCTGATGGGGGCTTTAGCAGAACTGAGGTAGGGTCTTAGCAGTGGGCATCTGGATTTCTCTGAACCTCCCCATGTTCCCTTTTCAGTATGCTGGAGATTGTAACCATCCTCACAGGGTTATCATTAAGAGTGCATATTCTTAATAGCATATAGTTTGTTGGCAAACCAGGATAGGAAATAAAGCTTACTTTGCAGCAGAATTGCTCCTTAAGAATGGGTCTGGATTATAGGGTAAATACTTTGATGAAATTCTTGGAAGGTGGGAGAAGCGGCAAAGTAGGAAGAAGGATATGGAAGGAGAGAGGCCCCGAGAGAGCAGGAGAAACAAGGTGTCCCTGCTGGTGGTCTGGCTGGTTTCCAGCCTTGCGTTGATCGAGGTTATATTATAAATGAGAGCACAGCTGAAGGTGGGTGAGGAGAAAGAATAGTGATGGAATAAGGTAGGGGAGAGCATCTTTGGAGAACAGGGAGGCCCAGATGTTGATAGGCCTTCTATTCCTAACTTGTCCAGGATGAGCCATGAATCTTCCTCTCCTTGCTGAATATTAAGCACATCCATTTCTCAGTAATAGGTTTGGAACTGATTGTTTTAGGGGATATGCATCAGTGCTGCAAATAGAGACCTGTTTCAAGGAGGCCAAGGTAAAAACAGGCTGCACAGGGGAATCTGCCCTGTCTGTGTCATGTGGATGCTTTGCTGTTTGAACCTGAAATTGATCAAATGTATTTGAACTTTGCTTTTCCTCAGAAGCCCCTGTGCTTCCATGTACAGCTGGAATCAAGCACTGTGTAACTCGCCTTTCACAGTTAAAAATGAACTCAGTGAAGGTAACTGCAGGTAGCAGCTCAGCCAGGAAAGCACAAAGGTAGCATGTGTGGGATATTTGTCCTTGCTCGGAATTTTAAAATTGCATCCCAAGCTATTGATTTGAATTTGATTCAGTGAGCACAGACTGGAGGAAAATCAAATTTTCCACCAAATCACACATATGTTCCACGTGGCCACATTGTTTTTGTTGTTTATTTCAAAGATGCTGGATCTGTTATTAGTGTTGAGATTACGCTGCTAAGGAATCTCCTCTGTAATCTTGAAACAGATTTCTCTCTGCCTTCC